CACGATGGACGACAGTACCATCACAGCAAAATGTTAAATTCTTTAGAATTTAAGCATTAAACTAAATGTTAACAGAATTTAGGATAATATTTAACTACTTAATTGACATTAACGATACATCACAGTGACTCTTGGAACCAATTCATCTAAAGGTTTTTAATTTAACTATGGATAGATCAAATGGGCATTCATCTTTGATTGAAGGATCAATCAGAAGCATCCCCAACTCTCAAGCCTTGAGAATCAGACGCATTGTTTCTGATGATGGAGTCTTAGCACGTCGATGTTCGGAGCACAAAGTCCACTTACTCAGCGGGGGAAATAAGGCTGCCATGATTGATCGCAAAATAAACAAAGTGAGGAAACTGGATCGGGTGAGACTGCTTGAGTAAACAAGAGGCCCAGAGGGCCTGTAGCACTCACCTAGATATTCAAGGAGCAATCAAGGTGACATGAGTGTATTTATCCCTAATTCCCCTATTTGGTTGCACCGTACCCCTGGGGTTGGGATAGACCCTGGAGCGAATCTGGTAGCATGAATATATTCCTCTAATGAGGTCCAGTGTGTGTATATATATATGTGATTATAGGCTGGGGATCTCGACTGTTTCCAAGTTATGACCCAATTTCCTCTATTGGGTCATGTCCTTGGGGATGGGATAGACCCCGGAGCAAAATCTGGTAGCATGACTATATTGGTCTAATGATGTTGGATGGGGTATATTATATGTATATATGGTTATAGGGTTGGGATCTCGACTGTTTCAAGGTTATGACCCGATTCCCCTATAGGGTCTGGCCCCTGGGTTTGGGATAGACACCGGGGCAAAATCTGGTAGCATGACTTTATTGGTCTAATGATGTCCAGTGTGTGTATATATGTGGTTATAGGCTGGGCATCTCGACCGTTTCCAAGTTATGGCCCAATTTCCCCTTTTGGGTCTTGTCCCTGGGGTGGGGATAGACCCCAGAGCAAAATCTGGTAGCATGAATATATTCGTCCTATGATGTCACTGAAGGCTATATACAGCCTGATTTTAGGACCGAATATGGGTCAATTACCCTCCAAAATTATGGCTATATTTTCCCCTTATTTAGTTAAAAATACCCGCAATTTTTTATAAAAATTTAGAAAATAGCCAAATCTGCCCTGAATAACATATCTTTTCACAATTATAACTGTCTTTTTGTTAAGTTGCATAACATTCTTTTGTGTTGGTATTAATATATATGGGAAATATTTACACTGCAACTTAATTTTCCCCTATTTTCAACAAGAGCACTGTACACGAATGCATAATATTCCCGTCAATACATAAAGCGTAATCATTCTCAACTAGAGCACCACAGGATCAAGCTACCTTACACCAAATTCCAATGAACTTCATCCAAAATATTATGGAAATAAAACAATGAATAATAAATATAATGAAATATACATACATGTGTACATGTAATTTCTGATTAAGACTTTTTTCATTTAGAGTTGCCACCCTTTTTCCCCCCTACTTTTTAAAAATGGTCGCTCAAAAACTGAGGGAGGAGATCTCCCGACAAGATTGAAATACCGAAAACAACAAAGGACAATAACTCTTTCAAAAATTGTCAAATCAAAGTGCCGAACAGGAATGCACATGCAACTACATGTTATGATAACCAAGCCTACCAAGTTTCAAGAAGATCAGTCAAAAACTGTAGGCGATCTCCAGACAAACAAAAGTTTACGGACAGACGTACGGACAACACCATACCATAAAATGTCCCGTCATAAGACGGGCGTATAAAAATCGGTAGTTGATTTGAAAAACTAGATTAATCCCTGTACAGTCTAGTGTGAGTATATGTGGTTATAGTATGGAAAACTCTGCCGTTTCCAAGTTATTACCCAATTTCCCCTATTGGGTCCTGCCCCTGGGGTGGGGATATACCCGGCACAAAATCTGGTAACATGAGTATATTCAATGGTCTGTTGATGTTCAATGGGGGTATATATGGTTATATAGGGTTGGGATCTCGATAGTTTCCAAGTTATGACCCAATTTCCCCTATTCGACCCCGCCTCTGGGGTTGGGATAGACCCTGGTGCAAACTCTGGTAACATTAATATATTTGTCTAATGATGTCTAGTGAGGGTATATATGGTTATAGGTTTGCACGTTGCGATCTTGACTGTGTCCATGTTATGACCCAATTCCCCTATTGGGCCCCATCTCTGAGGTGGGGATAGACTGTGGGGCAAATCTGGTAGCATGAATGTATTTGTCCAGTGTGGGTATATATGGTTATAGGGTGGGGCTCTTGAAATATTAAAGAGATATGGTTGTGAGTGGTAAATTGCCAACATCTGCAGTGCTGCTACAGCCGAGGCTGGCATTTTCACCACATGTAACAAAAAGTATGCAAACTTTGTTAATACAAGAAATCAATGGACATAGTTGTGGGATACTTAGACACCGACATGAAAATCAGTCAATGTGATATACCTTATATGGCTGTAACTTTTCGAGCTCAGTTCATGTAGGTATGCTCGACTCTTGTTCAGATATAGCCCTTTTGTTCTTTGAATTTTGATTATGATTTGATTAACAGTAGTCTTTTCTCCATTTTTCTTTTACCTACCTTTATTTCTATTTCCCTTTGTGCTTTGTTTGGGGACACTTACTTGCTGACCACTGCATTTTCCTGAAGAAAGAAATAATTCATCAAGAAATTCATTTCATATTTGTTTTTATTTGATTTTGTATGATGAAAATAACTTACATCTTTATAGAATATCATTATCTACTGAAAACCCAAAACTCCATTCCTAATCATGAACTTGTATGTACAAAGCCCGCTAGTGCCACTACTGAAAATATGTTATGTGCGTCCGCCACTTAATTTTCTGGCGACCGCCACTTATTATCATGCGGTCGCCACTTAATTATACCCCCACCCCACAATGAAGTTGGGGGTTAAATCACCCTGTCCGGATGTCTGCATTTAATTTGTCTCGACAACTCCTCCTTAACAGGCAATTTTCATTGAAACTTTTCATGATCAGTTTATTATGTAGTTGAACACCAGCATTTTAATTTCGGATTTCAACCCTTTTTGAGTTATGGCCCTTTCTGCAAATTTGTTACTGCTTCTTACCTTCTCGACATATTTATATGAAACTTGGTAAACATGATTAGTACCTTTGGTAGTTGTGCGATGTATTTTTTATTTAGAATATGTTAGTGGGAGTTATTCCCCTTTTCTGTTTTCCGTTTGTAATCTTCTCCAAAGTGCTATAATTAAGTGGCAGCCGCCTGATAATTAAATGGCGGGCTGGCGGCCGCCAGATAAAATATTTTCACTAGTGGCACTAGCGGGCTTCCATATATATAGGTTTATAGGGTGGGGATCTCAACCATTTCCAAGTTATGGGCCAGGGACCAAGTCCCCAGTTAGGGGTGTATAAAAATCAACTTGCCCGACACCCGGGTCAACCAATTTTCACACTAGGGCTCGTGCAAAAATGTAACACACACTTGCCCGGGGCAAGTACACTTTTTTGCGTATTTAGGGGCCCAACACATTTTTCTTCGCTTGGTCTTATTTCAGTTTTCCCAGCAAAATTAGCGTCTTTCACTGTTTCACCAGCACAGGGTTAGTAAACAAACTCCAATTGCTCGAAGTATATTGTTTATCTTTTTAAGACAGTATCGCGCTCAGGGTCCAAAATATCTATTGTTTTCATCTCTCTATGTCCAAATGTGTAATATGAGATGGCAAAAAAAAATATTAAAGAAAAACTTCAATGTTTTGATGCTCAAAACGTGACACCTGGCACTTATCATTTGTTTTTTTAGCTTGTAAATTAAAATTCTGTCTGGTACAACACACATATATATGTTCAATGGTACACCATATAAGGAAATATAAGGAAATTATTATGCATTTTGGTTAGGAAGTCGTCACTTTTAAAAAGGTATAGGCAAATACTAGTTTGCAACAACAGATTTAAGACACTATTTGGTATGCACCACTGACTTGATACAAAACAAATACTGACTATTATCAATAATAGTGATTATATGTAATCTTGTGTTCGTATCTATTACAGAAATGGGGAGAAAAACCTTCGGGTCAGGTGACCTTATGACAACTCCTTCCAACTTCCTTACAAGTCACTGATAATTTATATTAACAGACATTATAACCATGACTTTATTTTCAAAATCATCCACTGAAGACCACATAAAATACTATGAAATTTATGTTTTGGCAGAGGATAATACCTTGCTTGCTGTCGTCTTAATCCAATTCTGGATGGTCATCTACATCGGAGTCGGAGTTGTCCTCAACCATGTCTGTATAAATGAAAATTCAAACAAAAATGATAACAGCAACTATTTTTTCAGTCAGTTCTTCCAACAATTTATATCACACCAATATCAAATACAGATGTGATCCAAAAGGGATCTTCGCGACTACCATCAGTCGCGACTACCATCAGTAAAGAGAAATTCAACGGGTGAGAATAGATCATAGATATATAATGTAAACTTGCCGTAAAATATTCAGTTAATATATCTGTCTGACGATCATCGAAATCATAGTAGTAGTAGCAGTAAGAAGGACTGGTACGATACACCGGTGAATCGACGATACCACACAGCTTTTTGTTTTGTTGGTTGAGGAGTATTTCTGTAATATTTCTTATGAATCCATGCTTACAAGAACCGTTTTTGCATATACAAACGAAAGTGAAACCTACTTTCTGATTTCTGTTACTTCAGAGTCCTGAAGTAACAATGTTAAAGTGATTGTGATTGACTTGTAGCCAAAATAAGGACCAAATCAGATCGCACGAAACAATAGAAGCATGTTTAACACTCGGAGGCATTGCTGACGACCGCGACTGGTATAAATATCATGATATGTATCGGATCATGCCTGTGGTACATATAATTTCAACCGGTTGACGGTTTAGGAATTAGGATGAAATTATTTTCTCTTTGGTATGCGAGTAGCCAATAGGTGGCTCTAGTCGTGCTACAGGTGTTCGCACGTGCTGAGATAGTGTATATACGTGTCATTCAGGCGACACAGGTAAAGCCGTGCACACGTGAATTTTGATAGAGAGAGTTTTCGGTATACAGATGGAGGGCAGTGGTGCGAATACTGCTAGCAGTGTTACGTTAAGTGACATTTTTCAACAATTACAGAGTCAGAAATGTGAAATGAAAGCATATTTAGATACAAGGCTATGCGAAATTCAAAATGGGAGAGATGTCTCTAAAGAAATTCAAAAGCTGAAAGAGGACAAAGGTATTACCTGGAAAGGTGAGGGGAATAAGCAGCAGTATATGTTCAATACGGACCTGTTGGAGGAAGTGAATCAAGCGCGGTGGGCTATTGAAAATAAGAAGGAAGAATACTGCTCTGAAATTTTGAGTCGAGTGGTTGACAAAATTACCAAAAGGAACAAACTAATAAGAATAGCAGATAGTTCTGAGGCAGGGTGGGGGACAGTCAAAGAGTATATGGCCAATCCTCTTGCTAGTGATTCTGACGACGACAAGAAAATTTCACGCGCCGAGAATAAGGCTGTGAAAAGGTTAAAGGATAAGCAGAAAAAGAAGAAAGACGTTTTTCTCAACAGACAGAGGTCAAAGTATGGATATCAAGGTCCTAGTTTTGCGGCGGGAGCTCCGGGTCAGGTTTCTACTTCTGTGCGGCATTCTGATGGGAATCAGCTTTTTCGTGGCCAGCGGGGAAACCAGGGAGCCTGTTTTGCATGTGGGGATTTCCGACACTTCAGGAAAGATTGTCCAATCGTTAACAAATCAGCGGGACAGTCCAGGACTGGGACATAAGGACACAGAGACTCGAGAGGCTCAAGTTATCAAAGATAAGTATAGTTTATCAAATAGTGATTATACAGGAGCCTGTGCTAGTACAGAATTTACTAACGACTATTTTGAATACGAACAAGGTCAGGCTGACATTTTAGTAAAAAGCAGATTAAAAAATAATGTTGAATTTTGGAAGAATATTGGATGTTCTGAGTTTGTGTTGGACGTGATTGATAACGGTTATAAAATTCCATTTTATTCCGAACCAGAACAAGCAGAATTTAAAAATAACGTGTCAGCGTTGAAAAATGCCGAGTTTGTGGAGAAAGCTATTTTCGATCTAGAGAAACGTAAATTGATAGAAAGATGTGAGGAACCCCCATATATGACAAATCCATTAACTGTATCGATTCAATGCAATGGCAAAAAGCGTTTAATTTTGGATTTAAGGGAGGTTAATAAACATTTGTGGAAACAATCCGTGAAATATGACGATCTACGTACAGCTTTGTTGTATATAGAGAAACATGGGTGGTTGATAAAATTCGATATACATTCGGCGTATCATCACATAGATATTTATCCTCCCCACACCAAATTTCTTGGTTTTTCGTGGACTTTTGGTTCTAAAAAAGTATATTTTAAGTTCTTGGTGTTACCCTTTGGTCTGTCTACAGCGCCATATATTTTTACTAAAGTCACTAGACCGCTCATTAAGAAGTGGAGAGGTGAGGGTCTACAAATTTTGATGTATTTGGATGACGGATTGTGTCATAACACTGATAAGTTTGAATTAGTAGAACAGAGTGCAAAAGTTAAAAGTGACATTATAGATTCAGGTTTTGTGCCAAAAGCAGACAAATCTATGTGGGATCCTGTACAATTCATGACTTTTCTCGGTGTAGATATTAATACTTTATTAGGAATTCTTTGCATTCCGGAGAGACGGGTAGAGAAAGCACGTATGTGTGTTATTGACATATTAAAAGTTGTGTACAGTGGCAGGTCTGTTCATGTCAAATCTCTAGCGAGTTTTGTTGGTCAAATTATGTCGATGAGTATAGTTTTGGGCAATATTACTCAGCTGATGACTAAATGTGTCAGTATGAGTATTTTAAAAGCCCAGTCGTGGAATGATAGAATTTTTGTGGATGATAATACTATAGCTCAGATGGAATTTTGGATTAATCACATTAATTGTATTAATTCTAGAGAAATCCAGTTTTCCCCACAGTGCAATAGAATAGTATATTCTGATGCCAGCGGCACAGGGTACGGTGGGTATTGCGTCGAGTCACCGGTGGGCGTGGCACACGGTGTGTGGACTGAGAACGAGGCGTGTCAAAGTTCAACTTTCAGAGAGTTGATAGCTGTATATCGAGTGTTGTGTTCACTTGTTCATGTACTGAGAGGGACCAGGGTGAAATGGTTTTCAGATAACCAGGGTGTGGTGGCGATCGTAGAGAAAGGAAGCATGAAAGCATCTTTGCAAAATATAGCACTTGATATTTTTGTGCTTATGATACAAAATCAGATATCATTAGAAATGGAATGGGTTCCTAGAGAAGAAAATGTTTGTGCTGATTTTATCAGCAAAATTGTCGATGTTGACGACTGGGGTGTGTCTGAAAATGTTTTTCAGTTGTTTAATGACATGTGGGGTCCTTTTGATGTGGATTGGTTTGCTTCCTGGTATAATAGGAAGGTGCCTATATTTTATTCTAGGTATTGGAATCCAGGGTCTGTAGGCATTGATGCATTTTCAACAAGTTGGACTGGGAAAAACGGTTGGTTTGTTCCACCAGTGTATCTAATATCAAGAGTTATTAGGTATATGCAAATGTGCAAAGCGTATGGCACGCTAGTCATTCCTTTTTGGAAGTCTGGTAGGTTTTGGCCATGCTTGTGTCCGGACGGACACCATTTCATAGCAGGTGTTAATGAATACAGGTTTTTACAAAGAGAAAAATGTTTTTATACATCATCTAGATCGGGGAAAGGCATGTTTGGAAATGCAGATCTAACATTCCCGATGATTGCGTTACGTATTGATTTTCGGTAGTGGTTTAATAGATAAACTGAATTTAAGTGAGAAATGTAGCATAGAAAATGATTTCAATTTTGGTGAGAAACGTGTGATACGATTGATTTGATTTAGCCTACTTTTGGTGATAATAGTATTGTGGTATTGATTTAATTCAACCAATTTTTGGTGAAATCGTGTTATACGATTGATTTAATTCAACCAATTTTTGGTGAAATCGTGTTATATGATTGTTTTAATTCAACCAATTTTTGGTGAAATCGTGTTATACGATTGATTTAAGTTAACCAATTTTCGGTGAAATCGGATTATACGATTGATTTAATTCAACCAACTTTTGGTGAAATCGTGTTATACGATTGTTTTAATTCAACCAATTTTCGGTGAAATCGGATTATACGATTGATTTAATTTAACTAACTTTTGGTGAAATCGTGTTATACGATTGATTTAATTTAACCAACTTTTGGTGAAATCGTGTTATACGATTGATTTAATTTGACCAATTTTTGGTGAAATTATGGTATATATATGTGTGTGGATAATTGTGCAAGTGGTTTAAGATGCTGAATTTGTACAATATGTGTTATCATACATATAAAGGTAATTATTTTGGAATTTTATTTTCTATTTTTTTACATTTAGCGACACGTGCTTTGAAAGATGAGTATGATATGGTACCGGATCACCTTAAAGACTTAGCATTGACGGTTCCACACTTGCTACAGGGGTGTAGAGCAGACAGTACCGTTAGGAAATATTGCCATGGTTATTTGCGATGGAAACAATGGGCATTTCAATACAACTTTTGAGGAACAGGATATTTTCCGACGAAACCGTTCGTTTTTTGCATATATTTATCTTATTTGGTTAGAAATAACGGCAAAGTTGGAAGTATTACAGATGCATTATATGGTATAAAATGGGCACACCATATTGTACGTAAATCATCACCCACAGATTCTTTATAAGTAAAAAATGTATTTGAGGGAGCGAAACGATTGTTAGCGAAACCTATTAGGAGGAAGGAATCAATCACCGTGTCAATTTTGAATAATGTATATGATACACTCTTCGATAAGAACAATTTGTATAATCAAAGAATTTTAACAATGTGTTTATTTGCTTACTCAGGTTTTATGAGGAGTGCAGAGGTTTTAGCGTTACGGAGGTCTGATATCCAGATACGCACAACACATTTAGAAATTTTCGTGGAGCGGTCGAAAACAGATGTATACAGAGATGGTGCATGGATTCTTGTGAGCAGAACGGAGTCGCGTTTGTGTCCAGTGTGTAATTTTGAAATTTATTCCAAGTTGTCTGGGATTTGTGATGATTCCGAGGAATATGTTTTTCGTAATGTTACGAAGAAAGGCGACAAGTATGTGCTTAGGAAAGCTAATAAACCGATGTCTTATTCGCGCTTTCGGGAACATTTCATCGAGTCCTTTTCTGCTTTTGTGCCCGACATTAAAAGTTATGGATTGCACAGTTTTCGCGCAGGTGGAGCTACTGCTGCAGCTAATTGTGGTATTCCGGATAGGTTGTTTAAACGCCATGGGAGATGGCGGTCTGAGACAGCCAAAGATGGGTATGTTAAAGACAAATTTGACGAAAGGTTAAGCGTTTCTCAACATTTGAATTTATAATTTATAGAATCGTGACAGTTTTAGTGTGCGTATCTGGGATTAATTCTATTCATAATATAGATTTGAAAACAATTTTCCCGTTCTTTGAGTTTCATCAGTCAGTGCCTATGTCGCTGGGAAATACAAGATTTTGTATTTGTGTTATTATTCCTATTGGATAATAATTTAGGAGATAAATATAATTTCAACCGGTTGACGGTTTAGGAATTAGGATGAAATTATTTTCTCTTTGGTATGAGAGTAGCCAATAGGTGGCTCTAGTCGTGCTACAGGTGTTCGCACGTGCTGAGATAGTGTATATACGTGTCATTCAGGCGACACAGGTAAAGCCGTGCACACGTGAATTTTTTGTTGTTGTTATTTATAAATAAGTAGGGTAGGAGTGATGATTGTGTGTGAGATGTACACTTACACTGTTGTTTGCTGTTTTTTGATGATTATATGTAAATAAATATCAGTCAGTGCCTATGTCGCTGGGAAATACAAGATTTTGTATTTGTGTTATTATTCCTATTGGATAATAATTTAGGAGAGAACATGATAGGGATCAGATCACAGCATAGGTGTATCGTCGCAGCCCTAGTAGTAAGATATCTTGTTTGATGTTGTACTTAAAATAAGTCCTCAATATGTGACGCTTTACTATGGCTAACAAGGGTATTCATGTACATGATCGGCAACACGATTATAGCAGGAATCACTAGATCTGTCTTCCTGACCACCTGGGTCATTTCCCTCTGGAGGTTTATCTAGATATTAAATGAAGAATAACGATTTTGCCATGCCCCAGTATTCTTTTTTATTTTTACTCACATACTGACATACCTTACACACGCAAATGAGGACCGTTTATACCACCTGTCGTGCGATTCACACACCGACAAATAAGGACATGACTTAAACACCAGCAAATGAGGACTGCGTATACCCGTCATGTGATTCATACACCGACAAATGAGGACATGATTTAAACACCAGCAAATGAGGACCGTTTATACCTGTCATGCGATTCACACACCGACAAATGAGGACATGACTTAAACACCAGCAAATGAGGACCGCTTATACCTGTCATGCGATTCACACACCGACAAATGAGGGCATGACTTAAACACCAACAAGTGAGGACCGTGTATACCTGTCATGCAATTCACACACTGACAAATGAGGACATGCCTTACACACCAGCAAATGAAGACCTGCCATGCAATTCACACACACCGACAAATGAGGACCTGCATAAATGTTAAGTCTCCCGGATTTTTAGTAAGTCTCCCTGATTTCAAACATAAATTCTAAGGCTCACCGCATTTTTTTCAACTGTCACACTGCCAGGTAGACCGACAGATTTTTAGGTAGACTCTGGCCAGCGGGCCACCGTTAGTGTCGAACACTGATGATACATGTATACACACTTACAAATGAGGACATTGATACATAGCTATAAAAATGCATACATAAATATGTATTAAGTTTTAAATCCCAGGTAAAAAAGGAAACAACATGCATATGCATTTATTAAAGACACTTTTTTTCCCACTATCACCATTTTACAAGGACTTGAGTCTTATTTAAATGAAAAAGGGTAATGCATCTAGGGGCCTAGATTAAAAGTCATTTAAGCCTGACCCCTGAGGACCCGTATAAGTATGAGGCAATGCCCAGGGGTAAAATTTACTAGTGTTATATAGGGAAAACATGTAAATGGCTACTTCTTTAGAATAAATGTATTGATTCAACCAAATAATTCAGTCAGTGTGGTTGGCCAAAGTGGAAGCTATGTCGATCAAACTAGAGACCTTGACCGTCCAGGTGCCTGAAGGCTGGGGCCCAAAATGGGTCAAAATTTTATTAATCTTCAAAAATCATCTTCTCCAGATGGGAACAAGCTGTAGTTGGATTCTCCTGCCCTATGGTACGGTACATCTTGGGGCCTGGATCAAAAGTTTCCAGGACCCCTGGGGTCCCATATGAGGCAATGCCCAGGGGTCAAAGTTCACTAGTGTTTTAATTGGAGAAAATAAGAACTGTATTAACTCGCTTGTAAGGCGACCTGACTTATAAGTCGGGGGGACGTTTTCAAGTAAAAATATTGGCATTTTCCTTCGACCCAATTATAAGTAGACCCTGAAAAAATGCCATGCAAGTGGAAAACCAAAACATACTTTTCAAACTGTTGAAAGTCGTTTTCTGTTGAAAAATGAAGCTTTTCTTTGGCTTTCTGCTTATTTTGCGAGTGAATTGCAGTCGGACTCGCAGCAACAATTCAGTGTTCTTTCAATGCTTGTACCGAATTGGTATCTCATAAACATTCGAGTGATCCTATAACTAATATATAAAATTAAATTGTTTTGTGGTCTAAAACTTTGGATAGTCTTAGACGGCAGAAATAATGTTTAATAATTAACAAAAATTATGTTTTGTTCAGGCAGTAAAAACAAAAATATTAAGTGAACAACTAATACTGTACAGGGCTCCACAAAAGCACTCGTCCAGTCATCATAGACGAGTATACATCTGACTGGACAAGTGGTTCTGGCTGTGTCACTCGTCCAGTCATCATAGACGAGTAAACATCTGACTGTATAAGTGGTTCTGGCTGTGTCACTCGTCCAGTCATCATAGACGAGTAAACATCTGACTGTATAAGTGGTTCTGGCTGTGTCACTCGTCCAGTCATCACAGACGAGTAAACATCTGACTGGACAAGTGGTTCTGGCTGTGTCACTCGTCCAGTCGTCACAGACGAGTAAACATCTGACTGGACAAGTGGTTCTGGCTGTGTCACTCGTCCAGTCGTCACAGACGAGTAAACATCTGACTGGACAAGTGGTTCTGGCTGTGTCACTCGTCCAGTCGTCACAGACGAGTAAACATCTGACTGGACAAGTGGTTCTGGCTGTGTCACTCGTCCAGTCGTCACAGACGAGTAAACATCTGACTGGACAAGTGGTTCTGGCTGTGTCACTCGTCCAGTCGTCACAGACGAGTAAACATCTGACTGGACAAGTGGTTCTGGCTGTGTCACTCGTCCAGTCGTCACAGACGAGTAAACATCTGACTGGACAAGTGGTTCTGGCTGTGTCACTCGTCCAGTCGTCACAGACGAGTAAACATCTGACTGGACAAGTGGTTCTGGCTGTGTCACTCGTCCAGTCGTCACAGACGAGTAAACATCTGACTGGACAAGTGGTTCTGGCTGTGTCACTCGTCCAGTCGTCACAGACGAGTAAACATCTGACTGGACAAGTGGTTCTGGCTGTGTCACTCGTCCAGTCGTCACAGACGAGTAAACATCTGACTGGACAAGTGGTTCTGGCTGTGTCACTCGTCCAGTCATCACAGACGAGTAAACATCTGACTGGACAAGTGGTTCTGGCTGTGTCACTCGTCCAGTCATCACAGACGAGTAAA